GAACCAGGGGCATTCCAGTCACGCAGCTACACATCACAAAGGAGCAGGAAGTGTCTGTCACGGCACTAGTTGTGAGCAATGACATGCACCCAATGTTGCTGGTGTGAGGCTGAAAGAGATCAGCAGTGCCATAGGAAAATAATTAGCATCCACCTAGGGTTTATATCTGTTTTCACACTATACATTGGATAGTATGCGTTGCATAGATTGTTGTAGCTTAGGGGCTGCTGGAGCACTTTACCGCAAATGAAAGGGGGTTTTACTAGTTTTACTCCACCTAGATACCATGATAAATCTGTACATCTTTTAAATATAGGAGGTGAGGGGTATAAAAGCTTTGGCACAGGCCTTGGCCACTGACTGTAACCTGAAAACCTTAAATGCTTATCTCTCCTTCTGCAAATTATGTATTTATTATTGGCATTTACGCTTTACATAGTTCCACATTCACATCAGCCCTGCCCTCAAGGAGCTTACAATCTAAGGTCCCTATCTCACATGCATACATATGAGGGCCAATTTAGACAGGTGCCATAAATCTACCAGCATGTCTTTGGAGTGTGGGAGGAAACCAGAGTGCCCAGAAGAAACCCATGCAAGCACAGGGAGAATATGCAAAATTCCTAACCAAGATGTTAACCAGGGACCCTCAATGCAGCAAAGCAGAAGTGATAGCCACTACACCACTGTGCTGCCCAAATGCTAGCTTACTGTCTTTCATGCTGATCCTCTTGTTTCAATACCGTCACTCACTAATATTTGTAGAACAGGTATAAAGATAAGGACTTCTGCCCCCACACACTGCAGAAGAAAGCATAAGTCAGTGGCACCATTGTCACATAGGCTAGAAACACAAGGCTCGGTTTGTGGAAAACATTTATTACATTGCTAACCTTAGGTATAAGTGCTGTAGATCGTAATTTTCCTAAACCAGCCCCCAGGAACCACCAACAGCTCTGGTCTTCTAGATCTTGACACATAATCCTGGATCAGTGATTGTTTTTCTTTTTATTCTTTAACCAACAGCTGGCTGGAAAAGATGTTGGTGGCCTCTAAGGCCTGGAGCTACTGATTGTCATTGTGGAATAGGCACCAGATACAGTTAACAATGTTACAGAACGGCCATTTTAATTAAGGCCATAATCAACAGCTTCCAAACTGTCCTGAGAGTAGAGTTTAAAAAATTCCAAGAGGGCTTCTGGTTCAGTGAAGGTTGCCTTGACAGCTGGGTCTTGTAGCATACGATCCTGCCAAGCTTTGATATTTGGCGTCTTATCCAGAAGACTACAAAAAGGAAAATAAAAATGTAGTACATTAGGACATGTTTAGGTTATTCTTAAGTATTCTTGCCAGCTGTAGTTTTCTATCCCCTTTCCCATGACTACCATCAAAATACTCTGACCTGCAGGGGTGTCTGCTTCATGTTCCCCTCCCCTACTCAGCCAATCCAAAATGTGAATGTCTATATTAAAAATAACTTTTTGCTACTTCAATTCCTTTCTAGGGCTCCAGAGTTACAAAAGGGCACAGAAGTTATCAGTGCATTTTGTGGGCTACCACCTCTTCGAAAAGCAGACCATATAACAATGAGGATATGGATAACAACACATCAAGGGGTTTCATGGAGGCAACAGGGGTATTTAGGAGAGGCACATTTTAAATAAAAAATACGTATTGTGAGCTTGGCATGGGTCAGCTTCCTCGATTCACATCACTTTGGATGAAGCTAACACAAGTAAAATCTTGTAACAAGGGTGATTTTACAAATTCTAGGTCAGTGGTGGTGAACCTATTGCACGTTTGCCAGAGCGGGCTCACGGGGCCCTCTCTGCTGGCACGCGAGCCCAGGTCCAGTGTTCTGTCGAATGGTTGGGCGCGCAGGCCCAACCTGCGTGGCCTGGATGTGCAGGCCCGACCTGCAAATCTCTTATGTGTTAGAGATTCTACTCTAGCGTGGCCGCGCAGGCAAACTGAAGGGAGTTGCAGGCACACCGAAGGGCACTGGACACCTTGACGCGGATTACGATACTGCCATGGCTGGCTCATGCTCACTAGCGCCATCTCGTCCAAATCTGCTACTGACGTCAAGAGTTGGAGATCACCGGCCACAACCAGGCAGTGGTGGACCTCTAATCAGGCGTCTAATTAGAGAGCCACACAGACCACCTGAGAGCCCTTATAGACCACCTGAGAGCCGCAAGCCCCCCTGAGAGCCCATACAGACCACCTGAGAGTCTGCAGAGCCTACCTAATGCCTCCTAGCCACCCCCTAAAATAAATCATGAATATTCAGGTCTAATTGCAGGGTTGGCACTTTCAAATACATAAGTTGGTTTAGTGATCCAGTTTGGGCACTTGGGATCAAAAATGTTCGCCATCACTGCTCTAGGTAATGCAAAATCTACTTATTTTTATAAGAAACTTGTATTGTAACTGCAGTATGTTCTTTAAAAGCTATTCAAACACCCCCCACTAGCAAAGGCATTTCTTTTTTTCTACAATCTGCATAGTGAACCCAAAGAATCTGAGAAGTTACCATCAATTCTCTGGTGGGAAAGAAAATTACAATTCTCCATACCACTGGATCGGTGCTACAAAGCTGTCATTACAACCCTGTAGCCACCAAAATGTTTGAATCATTGGGAATCCTTAAAAGTTGTTGCATAATTGGTACTTCATGCCCCATAGACTGGCTAAAGCCTTCCCTACCTCTTCTCCACTCTGTTGGCGGGGTTGTGGTTTGGTAGGCTCATTAACTCACATATAGTGGTCTTGCACTTTGCTCAAGTCCTTCTGGACTGCCGTCTCCACCCTCATATCAATAGTCACCCTGACTCAATACACTGTATCCGCACAACTTGCCTTATTGGGGATAGGCTTGGAGGAATGGCCTACAACGTCTCGCACAGTGGTATCTCACATCCTCATAGCCGCTCAACTTGCCATAGCAAGAGCTTGGAAACAATCCGAACCTCCCTCTCTGCACACAGTTATCCAAATCCTCAATACACACGCTCTCTTTGAATATCTTTTTGCTAAAGACAACCTTAAAGCTCATGTCGTCTCCTCACAATGGGCTTGTTGGCTTGCGGATCCCAGATGCTTGATTCAAACTGTATGATTTTAACATAATAATCTTATCTGCCGAGATGTATGCATTTTTCATACGTTTTTGTCTGTACCCCCACACGATCCCAATCCTCTCAATTCCTTTGGTTGCATGCCCCTGTGCCTATCACTACATTCCTTCACTGGACGTACACCTTTCGTGCTGCCTGCATCCCGATGGCCACAGATGTTTTACCTTGCTGCTCCACTGCTCATATTGTGGTTTTTCCGTTCTCCTACCTCTTTTGCTGTACAAGGAATGCTGTTGTGCATTTTGATCTCTGTACCATCCCTATGGACCTTGACAACGCCTGTATAATGCTTTATTTTAGTTTTTTCTTTTATTGTGTATGTTTTATACGTAAAAACCTAATAAAATTCATTGTTCAAAAAAAAAAAAAAAAAAAAAAAAAGCTTTTCAAAACACAGAGTAAACAAAAAGAGGTGGACCTTACTCTTTCAATCCAAAACCGCTGAATCTCTCAAACCAGGGCCATACCATGTAGTCAATAAAGGACACAGATTTACTACCAAAATAGGGTGTGTTCTTCTTAACCAGCGCCTGAAGACAAGGGAGAGCAAAGACAGCTAAACTTTAATGGCATTCCAGTATTATCTTTGATTATAAAAAGTTATACAGAACTACACTGAATTAAAGATAATATAAAGTGTAGTTGTATGTTTTGTATTATTAGTATTTCTCAACTCAACAAAAAAACCCTAATTGTAAAAATAACTTATATTAATATTTAAATACTGTGATACCGAATTAGCAGTATGTAAAATACAGCACACATCACAGTGTACATTGCAATATGTAGAATACAGCAATGTAGAGTGTATATCTGTAAAAAATAAGTCAAGGCAACTGGTCTTCCTGTATTTTTCTTGAAGATGTTTCACTGGTCATCCAACCAGCTTTCTCAATTCAGAATGACTTGTACAAAAAATTATCTGGGAATAAATATGGTGAATGTTGCTCCAATCCACATAATGTGATTGCATTTGCATAATTGGAGTCTAGGAGGTGTTATTACCTGATGTTTGGCTCTTCTATGCTGTGCCATACGCTGGTGTAGCTGCTGTTTTGTTTCACCGACATACAATTCTGAGCGCTCCACACTGGACTGCATACACAACGTTATTCATCTTGTGTTGAATTGGGTCTTTTAGGTGAACCAGTTGTTGCCTCAGTGTATTGCTGGGTTTAAAGCAGACCTATTTATTCCCAGATTATTTTTTTGTACAAGTCATTCTGAAATTGAGAAAGCTGGTTGGATGATCAGTGAAACGTCTTCAAGAAAAATACAGCAAGTCCAGTTGCCTTGACTTATTCTTTACAGATATACCATGACCTGGATGAATGAGAACCTCCACAGACAATGTAATGTGTGTAACATACAGCATAAGAGTTGAGTGATGAGGCAATCCATTATGCTATGTTCAGAATTCTTACCTCTTCCAGTTTTGTGAACTTCTCAAGAAACTGTGATTTTAAATCAGTTGTGTCTTCCTTTTTTTTCAGTGCAAACACAATCTTGTAAAATATAGCTATGATCTGAAAACAACAAAAAAAACAATAGAGGTGACAGTATTTGTTTAGATACTATTACGTCAGAAAAATCTTTATTTTTCTTGTGTTAAACAATGTTCTACCCTGGACACGCTGGAGGTTCATATGACTGTATGACTCCTTCTGGCATTCTCATCTGACAGCAGCATAATTAATACCAACAGCAGCAAGCAGGAAGGGGGTTGGTTTAAGCAGATGTAGGATAGGCTTACCTGAGGAGATAGGTTTTCAGAGATCAATTAGGGGATCAAGGGGAACAGAGTAGGGGATAGCCGGACAGGTTGTGGTAGGGAGTTCCAGAGGATGGCAGAGGCTCTGGAGAAGTCCTGGAGGCAAGCATGGGAGGAGGTGACGGGGGAGCTGGATAAAAGGAGGTCCTGGGAGGAGCGGAGAGGACGGTTTGGTTGATATTTTGAGATTAAGTTGGTGATGTAGCTAGGAGCAGAGTTGTAGATGGCTTTGTATGAGGTTGTTAATATTTAGAATTTTTGGGTAGCGGAAGCCAGTGGAGGGATTGGCAGAGAGGCGCGGCGTCCACTTTGCAGTTGGTAAGTTGGGTGAATCTGGCAGCAGCATTCATGATAGACTATAATTGTAAAATTAATAATAATAATAATAACATTATTATTATCATTATCATTATTTATCTTGCAGTGAACAATAATTAATGTAATGCCAAAGATAAAAACAAAGTGCTCTTTGTCACCTGTAAAGGGAAATGCATTTTTAGTTACCTTGGGAAACAAAGTGAGAGAAAGAAAAATACTGAGTGGTTGCTATGGGCAACACAGTAAGAAAATAATTACCTTTTTATGGAAAACAGAGTCTGACAAAATATATAAAAATATTTCTATACACAAGGCTCGGTGTAAATTCCCACATTTGATATTTAGAGAAATCCTAGATATATCTAAAAGTGAAGCACTAATCTTTAAAGAACAACTCCGGGATTTTTTTTAACCCTTGCAGTGGGGTTACCCCCGCACTGCAAGAGTTTACTGCTCGTTTTCATCTAGGGACTAAAATAAAGTTATGCTTACCCAATCCTCAGAGCTGGCTGGCTGTCACAGAGCTCCCCCCAGCCTTTTTCCTCCTATGCTGCAGCCATGGTATAACCCTAGGTGTCCTCACGTCCTATACACTGTGTATAGAATATGATGAATCACGGGACAATTAAGATAGCCCTAAGATTACCAGGAACTTTAGTCTAAAGCAGGGGTCCTCAAACGTTTTAAACAAAGAGCCAGTTTACTGACATTAAGACTTTGGTGGGGGCCAGACTGTGGACAGTGGGTGTATGAAAATGCCCTGGCAATAGTGGAATAAACAATGCCCCAGGTTCAGAGGTCAGGCATCATTGTTGGCATCAGAGAGAGGAATAGTGTCCAATCATTGGTATCAGAGGGAGGAATAATGCTCCATACTTGGGGTCAGCAAGAGGTATAGTTCCCCATCATTTGCATCAGGGGAGCAATAACGGCCCATCATCAGGAGGAGTAGTACCCAAAGGGTCAGTTACACATAAGCAAAGGTCCACAGTTTGGTGACCACTGGTCTAAACTAAGTGGCGTCCACCTCCATACACACTTTCCACCACCCACCAACATACATAAAGTTCTCATCATACATACTGGAGAGAAAGTTTCCAGTAACATCTTCTGTTCAGCTTTTGCATAAGGGTCAGATGGAATCAGCTTCACCCCAGGAAAGGCTTCATCCAGGTATTCACAAACAATAAGTGATTCATAGATTATCTTCCCATCAGAAGTGTCAATGGAAGGTACCAGACCTAAAGGACTCCTCTCAAAAAACCAGTCCGGTTTGTCCAACAGATTTATGTTCACCACTTCATGCCTACAATGACAAAGCAAAGAAAAAAAAAAAGGGTCAGACAAGCTCTTATGTGCTACATGCACCTACGCCTATCACAGTGTCAAACTGATCCATAAAACAACTCTACACAGCCATATGGTAGCTCATAAGGGGCTGTAATTAATAGATATGTAAGATTCCTTTCATTCCTAATTGAAATTCAGGCGAATATTAGCATATTTGGCCATTTGGATACATCCACATTTCTGAAAGAAATAAATAATGAACCCAACGTATCCAAACTTTTTATAACGAAAACTCAGATGCATCCAAATTTTATTCTGAATGTCATTCAGCATGAAATTTTATTAAACATTAAAATTTAAGAAAAAAACAGCGTGGGGTCCCCTCTCCAATTCATACCAGACCTTTTAGGTCTGGTAGAAATTTTAAGGGGGACCCAATGCCAAAAAAGAATCCCTAAAATCCATTAATGATACGTGGGGTGAATGAATTTAAAGTACTAAGCAAAGTTTAATGCATGAGTGGACATGTGTCAAAACACCAGCTAAACTGGTGAACACATGGTTGAAATACATACTGTATATGTAAAAAGTTTATCTGCCCAAGAGCAATGGCACCCATGCGCGATGACGTCATGGTGTCACCCGGTCTCTGCTCTGGGTGACACCTGGCCTCGGGACGCCCAAGGCTGAGTACTAGACTGAGGAAGTCAGCCTTGTGTTCTTGTGCCTGTAATCAGTTTGCCAGTGTTAGTATGATAGCATGGTGCAATGCAATACAGGTAAATTGAACAAGCTCCATTCTACACCTACTGGTATTTCTGCTGAATGCATGGTTAATATGGTTCTATTATTTAAATGGGGTTACTCTCTGCTGCTCTTTAGATTCAAAGAGTAATTAGTGATGATCTGCTGTACTCTTAAAGGAAGACATGCAGTAGTATGAGTGTGCATGTGTTGTAAAACCTAAATCTGAGGTTCAGATGCTTCAAGGGAACTGGTTGCTACAATATACAAATTCATTTTGGTCAATTGTTCATGTCAAACCTAGCAGCAGCAGTTTGGGGAAAGGCCCTTTTCTCTTACAACATGACTGTGCCCTGTGCAGAAAGCTTAGTTAATAAAGGCATGGTTTGAGGAGTTTGGTATACAGGAACTCAAGAGTCCTAAACACAAACCAACTGAACACCTTTAGGATGAATTGGAACACGAATTGCCAGCCAGATCTTCTCATCCAACATATACAACCAACAGTATCTGACCTCACCAATGCTCTACAAAGTCCCACAGACATACTCTAAAATCTTGTAGAAAGCCTTCCCGGAAGAGTAGAGTCTGTTAAAGGGAAATGCTGTCCATGAATCGGCCGGTTAGTCCGGGGTGGGGGGGGAGGGCGGTGTTGCTGCCTTGCCTAGGGCAGCAGCAAAGGTAAATACACCGCTGTGCACATGAATGGATGACTTAAGTGAATACAATGTAATCTCATTGACAAAGCTAAGTTGACATTCACGTCTTCAAAGTCTTTTTTCCCCCACTTTTCACAGTGTAAAAATGTACACTGCAAATGGTATTTAAATACAAAAATCCATAGCAGCATATATTAAATGTTTACATCATCAGACAGTATGTATCTAAATTCCTTACTTGATTCCTTTGGCGACCAGGACGAGTCTTGCTCTCTGGGCAAAGGGGCAGAACCTCATACTGTATAGTCGAATCAACCCTTGTGGCACTGGCCCTGGGGCGGCACTGCCTGAAATAAACCAATGATCAAATTACATCTAAGAAATATGAATGTTACCAAAATATGTATTTTTCACCTGCAAATTTTCATCATTCGGGCTACTGAGATCATGACATGAGATCAGTTAAGTTGATTTGAGTTGAGTTTGCCCTTGCTTTTTTGCCTCCAAACAAGTCGTGTGCTTAACAAAAACCCATGTTGACTAATACTTAGAAATGCTCATTCACAACAAAAATCCCCATTATATATGTTAGATTTCTTTTATCGAAGGGCAGATTTACATTTCAACAATGCATTGAAGTGCATTCAATGTGCACTACTTCATGCATTACAAGTACACTACATTCAGACAGACTAGTCAATATAATTGGGCTGCCAACACACCAGAACATATCAAAAATTGCACATGACTTGATTAGCAATGTAGCGCACCACAAAGCATGATATGTGCATTGCACTCTACTATTCATTTACATGCATTGGGGTGCCATTCACAAGGAATTACACCGCAGTGTACTCAAAGCAGGTGCATTGTGGGAATGCATGGCAACACATGCATTTTATCATATATGTTAGGTATTGGCTCTAAGGTCCCCGTTCACACTATGGCATTACGGTAACACATTTTAAGCACATTGGTACGATGTTGTGACATTGCTTTCTGCACTCCCCCCACCACCCACTTCCCCAGTGATCACTTCCTAAACATGGGGAAGAGAGGAGAAAAAGCAATACAGCGAGCTGCTGTAGCTCGCTGAATCACTTCCTGCACAGTGACAGCTCAACAGGCGTACGCTGACACAATGCAATATGAGCCTAACAGACAGAGGTCCCTGAGAGTTAGGATACATCACATACAAGTTGTAGTCTGTCATTCTTGCATAGACAAGAATGAAAGACACACAAAGTTTATCATCATATTGGCTGCTGCCCCCTCTGGACATGTCAGTTCTGTGTATGCACAGCGGGTGCTGTGAGCATAGACAGACTGGGGCCTGCACGTAGGAATCATTGGTACATGCAAGTAGCCTTACATACAAACGGCACATAGGCATCAGAAACCCAGGGCCTGGTTATCATACAAAGCTCTATACCTTGGCATCAGGGTATATCCTGATATCATCTGTTTTACAACAGCTCTAATGATAGAACTCATCATTAGAGTTCTATCATAAAAATCATTCTATCGCCTGTCATAAAGTAAAAGCTTGCATTCTGCAAACACGAAGATCACACGACCACCTACCTTTAGCTAAACTTCTCTGAGAGCCGGACATTTTTACAGACTGTCTCTATAGAGGAACCTGTATGACGAGAATAACGAGAAAGAGATGAGATTGTTGTGCTTCATGCACAGCTCGGCTATGTGTTTCTAGCAGCATGCCACATGTCTCACCAGGAAAGGGGCTGGGTGACTGGAAGGGTTTGCTTCCATCATATATAAAGCAGCTGCTTCCAGTCTCCTCCCAACACTTATTGATCAACTAGAAACAGACACAAAGACTCCTACAAAGGAGCCATATATGATTTATCTGTAACCCGATAACATAATGATTATATGAATGAGTAAGGGAAAGTCATCTGGCTGTGTATTGCGCAGCACCCCTGAGATGACTCTTCAAAATTCAACTCAAGATGTTTCATGAGCTGTAAGCCATAATCATCACAATTATGACAAATCACGGCTTGAATTATCTTGCTTTGCATGTAATGAGTCTATCTCATATATTAGTTTCACCTTTTAAGTTGCATTAGTGAAATAAATGAACTTTGCACGATATTCTAATTATTCGAGTTTCACCTGTATGTATAGGAGAAACCTTTCTTTCTTTGATAAAGTAGAGAATGGGTAAAACTCCTGTCAGTCTATATTTTACTGTACATATTCGAGAGATGCAACAGGAAATTAGATGACATATCTACAAAGTCATGCAGATGTCCCCTCTTAGTTGCAGGGAACAGGTGTCCCCAGTGGAAGATATGCCATAAACTACTCTTTTGGCAGGCACCCCAACCTGAAAAAAATCATTTCCTGAGACCAATACATGGCAGCATACAATGGGTATGGCTCCGCCCCCAGCCCAATCACAGGACCAGTTATACTATAATTTAAAGCCCGCCTCGTCCGTCAGGAAGCTGATAGCGCCGCAGCGACAATCACAGGCACTGAGCCATTTTCCGATCTCTGCAGCTGCGGACCGGGAACATGTCTCAGTGCCTGTGATTGGCGCTGCACGCTGACGGCTTCCTGGACTACTGCTAATGCCTTAGCTGAATCTTGCAGGTATTTACCTGAAACATCCATTAGCTTGCTTGTGGTCCTTTAACCCTGGAGGTGCTTGCTGAGTGCAGGCTGCTGCCACCTGTAGCTCTGCTGCTAAACCTTTAAACTGGATCTTACAGAAATGTGTTTGTTTGCTAACTCTGTCAGCTTCAATCTTGTGCCTTGACTCTTGGGTGCCTTTCATGTGAGTATTTTGCTGTCACCTGCGGGTTCCCCAGCGTTGTTAGTGTTTAAAATGTAAGTTATGGAATTGGTGCTTCATTTCAGGCCTGTTCTGCCTGTTATTCAGTAATCTTTTTCATGGTCCTATGTATACAGCATTGTGTTAGGCTGGGTACACACCTTACAACCATCGCAAGACTTTTGTCTTGCGATGGTTGTAAGGTACTTAACAAAACGTACGATCTGCCTATCTTGCATAGGCAGATCGTACTTGCGATGATCGCAAGCCACGCCCCCTGAGGGGCGGGCTTCCGATGACCCCAATGCCGAACGGGCACCGGCCCGTACGGCTGTTATCGTACGGACATGCCACAAACCCGCCGAACGTCGTACGATGCTCGGCGGGTTTTCGAACATGTCCGTAAGTTCAAAGTCATGCGACCTTACAGTAGTAGAGCAAAACAAACGACAAACGCACTCAACAATTTGTTACCAGTTATACAGTTAAGGTGCACACGAAATGGGCTTTGCGTCCTCCTGACAAACCTGCACCCAATTTGATATCTTCTGCCCCCATGTGCTCCAAGATGGAGACTCTCATAGTTTAGAGTTAGGAACCCACTATAAGAGGTGCCTTGGCTTTCACATCCTCTGCAGAAGATGTGTATTCAAACCTCTGTCATTATCCTTAGTGGTGAGACAAGTTGTTTTACATGCTGGTTTGTGAGTGTGCCATGATGCCTTTCTACTGTCGTACAGTAGTAGAGGTCGCATGGCTTCCACACACCTTCCGATAATCGTACGATCGCGGGATTTCCCGCGATTATCGTACGATTATCGTAAGGTGTGTGGGGACCTTAAGTGACAAGAGCCTGTTGTGCTATAACTCTGAGCACATGAGTATGTGGCTTCCAGGTTTTCAGCATGGTTGTTAGTGTCTAGCAGGTTCTGACAGGTGCTGTTTAATCACATCATTCTCTTCAGTTTCTCTGCGATAGCAAAGGTTGGATCATGTGTTCAGTTACCAACTGGCATTACCCTCCTTCCCCCGGAGACCAGCTACATTCTATAAGGTGAGGGTCAGGTAGGTATGAAGATAAAAATAAAAAAAGAGTGTGCAAATACATGGGCATAATGAATTGTAAATCTTTTCAGGCCTATTGACAGCACTGTTCCTCAGAGTGCATATGCAGGGGTTAATGGATTGCAACTCTCTCCAGCCCTTTGCCATCACTGCTTCTCAGAGTGAACTTCTGGATTATCACCAGTACTGCTCCCCAAAGACAGAGTAAGCTGCTCAATTTGGGATGAAAAGTCCTCTTCAAGCTGTGATAAAGCTGCTACACATGCAAGATCCTGCTATTAGAATCCAGCTAGCGGATTGGATCACAAGGATTGTACAACTTTTAAGCAGCGCTTGGCCTGCGATCACCTAGCAGGATGCTGTGCCGAGTTTCCCCTGCAGGGGCAACAGAGAATAAAGAGGCAGAAAGGTGCAGGTCTGAAGCCTTAAACAGAGGGGATATACTTTATGAACTGTCAATTACTAGCCCAGTCAAGCAGCTACATCCACAAGTTCCCCTCTAACCCTATGGCGGTCAGCTATAGAGTTTTGCCCTGGCGCACCCATAGGCCAGGATGGCACTTACTTGCCAGGGCAGTCCATACTTGGCGTAAGAACACATAAGCGGACCTTTTGGCTGGCAGTAAGGTCTCAGGGGCATGGTAGTTTCTGAATGAATTGACATCAGCAGTGATTTCATAGTGAGGCTGCTATGGATATGCTGCATTGCTCATCCGGGACTGCAGTTGCCTTGAGTTGGTACAGATCTCACCACACACACACACCAAAATCTAATGTCACAGGGGACGGAAGAATTCACAATCCTCCTTTTCTTCTTTTAAACAAACCAAGATTACTCCCTCCCTAGAAGAACAAAAGTTCTTTTGAGGGTTCCTCTTGTTGGTTGTGTGTCCAGATGAAACACTGAGAACTTGAGGAATGCTGAATTAAGTTTGAATTGCTTAGGCCATTACATGAATGGATATGAATGATATGGATATTGTGAAGAAAAGGGACTTTGTGTGTATCACAGATAAGCATCCATACAGGGACCAGCATTACACTATAGCGCCCTCTACAGCTCAAAAGACATATCGGTACATTAGTATATGCTGTTGCATTTCCAACACCTCTGACCAACTTGCCCAGTAGGTCTCGGGTTGTGGGAGCTTAAAAAAGTTTGAGCATATACTGTTCAGAGTATATGCTCATGGGTTCTGTTAAGAGTTCAAGGGGGACATAGTCAGGTTTTTCTTCTCATGTTCCAGTCAATTCATTACCATCAAGGTTCCTTGGTGCAAGCGAAGCTGGGTTATATGTAGACATATCCAAATAGTGTCTCGTAATCTTTTCCAGTCCAAAGATATCAAGCTTTTATCCTCTAATTGTCCTAGTGGGACAACCAGGAGACTTAAGACTAGTCTTGGTTTGAACAGATGGATCAGGATCCAAATATTGCATATAGAATCACTATGTTGCATCACTTAAGCCATATACTGACTATTGGATACTGTGCCTGGCAGATGTGTGCTCACATTCCTGTGGACCTGTCCCTCATCAAATGTCTTGCTTACCATTCTAAAGTTCCACTTTTGTTTTGTTTACCTGCCCTTTGGCCTTGCCACAATCCTAGGTCATTTTCCAAAAGATTGCATCCAGTCTATGGAACCATCTTAAGTTAGGCTCTGATCAAGTTAAAAGCCATCGCCAAGGGGGGATGCCTCTATCCTACACCTTGGTGTCTCCAGTTGACGGGACAACTCCTTGGTGTCTCCAGTTGACAGGACAACTCCTTGGTGTCTCCAGTTGACGGGACAACTCCTTGGTGTCTCCAGTTGACAGGACTGGTTCTGGATGATTCCAAATATGAGATTCTAGGTTGTGGCTATAGCCGGCGAGCCTGTTTCAACTGTTATCTATGTCCCTATCCAGGGATCGTGTTAATAAAGGATTCCTATGTGCGAATCACTTCAACAGCCTTTTAGTCCAAGCTCGGTGACAATCCATCAGGGGTAATATGTCTTCTGCATCTTAGAGTTCAGAGAGCCTTTCAGATGCAAGGAACCTCTGTATTAGTTCAATGAACAACTGGATTATATTTTTTCCAAAGATTTGGTGTCTGCTCATAGATGTATGGGAACTGCTCACTTCTGATGGAGGTACCTCTAATCGAGGATTCAGCGCTGGGCTCCTCAGAATTTCCTGGCTGATACTGTAAGCCAAGAAGCCTTGGACGACAATTCATGTTTTCTTATCCAGAAGTTTCCTGTGGATCAGCAGCAAGTGGGATCTCATCCTGATGGTAATCCCTAAGAGTACAGACACTCCTTGTAAAGAAAACGTTCTAAGGGAGAGAGCAATGGATATTTTAATGCATACGCTTCCTTCAGTCCAAATAGATTCAGGTTCCTAGATGATACCCACAATTATCTGGGTAGGGTTCCCTCTCTTGTAGACTCTGACCCTTCTAGTCATCCTTTGCTCACCTCAGGATGTCACAAGAAAAACAAAAAGTAGGGAAGGAAGCGCCATAACCAAGCAGAGACCTGTCGGGAAGTGGAGGTCCACGTGGAGTCTTAAATACACTTTAAGTGACCAGTGTGGGCAGTGGCTTGGGTGTTGCTGCGTCTTAACCCATATCTTTTATTGTTCTGGTGATAAGTATTAAAAAGCCTGGTCAATGGCTGCTAACACTATCTACTCCAAATACTAATTTAATACAGCATTGGAAACCCACATCAAAATGCATACCAATACACAAATAACACACACATTAAGGCATGACAATGCACCTTCCAAATACAGCAAATAAGTACACCTCTACACATATATCAATGGTCCCTTTAACTGGTGTTTTACAGATACTTAATTCTTTCAATACTTAAAGTATATTTCCACTTTTGCAGAAAACCCCTCGGTATGTTTGTTATGTGTTCCCATTCACACAGCATACTGAAAAATACATCTTAAAAATA